TAGTTTATTCTTGAAAAATTCATATATTTACACAAGAGCAGTATTAAAAAGAGAGTCTATATTTCCACTGTCTTTTGAGTTATAAATTTTAACAAAAACATTTTCAGTTTGAATAATTATGAGTAAACATTTTCTACCCCTAGATTAGCACAAGCCATTTCTGTCCTTGAGCAAAGAAAATACTTGTATATGCTCTTTAAAATTAATTCTCCTTTAATTCTGGATGACTATTTCATAACATCAAACTTGAGAGTAACATCTAGGAGACCAAAAATAGAAAGGAAGCAAAGGAGGGAGGGAGAGAGGGAGGGAGGGAGGGAGGGAGGAAAAGAGCCACATCTTTTCTTTCATTCTGTTTAGTCTGTTTATTTAGTATAGGAAGTTCCTCCAGACCCCTGCAGGAATGTTAGTTTTGTAGCTGTCAGTACTGACTCAGCTGCTATAGCTCTGCTTTCACCTTTCACTTTTTACAGAAAAAAAAATTATATGAATTAATAAAAAAAAATAAGTGGGAGAGTGAAAAGGAAAACCACCGAAGTAGCAGCTGAGCTGATACAAACAGCTGAGAAAAGAAAACACTACGAAGAAAAGCCTTTTAAAATGTTCAGAAAAACACTGACATCTGAGAGACAATAAAGGTTTTTTCTTTTTCTTTTCTTTTTATATAGCAGCACTGGTTTTCCTTTCCATCATCCATAAATCCACTTTTTGGCTCGGACCACCAGACAAATCAGTACAGGGGTTTCATTATAAACTCATATTGATTTTAGGGCTATTAGCCAATCATATCAAATCACACATGCTCTTGTTTTTTGTTTTTATGGTGGCACTTTTGTTATGTCTTTATGTGCTTAAAAAGCCACAGACTCAGCCCAAGGAGGTGCTGCAGCAGCACGTAGTTGCACAGGCAGAACTATGCAAAGCTTTTGCACAGAACCTTCCTGAACAATATATAGCTCCAGCCAGTGCTACTGAACCTTCACATTTGGACTAGGAAATTCAGCCCTAATTACTTTCAAAACAGGATAAACTCAGAATCAAGAGAATGTGATATTTCTGTTGTAAAAAAGCGAAAGTTAAGAGTAAAGCCAGATCTACAGAGCCAATAGTGACAGCTTCTACTGGTCCAAATTCATAAAGGGGAATTCTGGAGGTTCTCCTAAAATGGAAAGAGAAGAATAGAAGACAGTATTATAGTAGCATTTTTATCTGCTTCTTAAAAAGCTGTGTCTAAATTTTCTTAGAAATACAATTTCTATTTTCACCAAGATGAAAATTAATTATTAGCCTGAAAAAATACATTTCTTTACAAAATGGGTTTTCTTTGAATTTATACACTAGTTGGAAAGTTTCTGTTCAGACTTATCATAAAAATCTTTTTTTTTAAGGCAAGGTCTCATGTATCCCAGGCTGGTCTTGAACTCACTATATAGCCAAGGACAATCTTGAACTTCTGATCCTGCTTCTACCTACCGAGTACTGTGATTTCAGACATGGGCCACTATGACCAGTGTATGCTGGGGATTGAACCCAGGGCTTTATGCATGTTAGCTGGGTATTCTACCAACTGAGCTACATCCCCAATATTTATGCATTATTTTCTTTTAGTTTTTCCCTTGTTTTTCTGAACATCATATATTAAAATGTGCACTGAAACAGTAAAGAAGAAAACAGATTTTAAGATTTTGCAATGTTAGGTCAAGATGGATGAAAATGGAAGAGACTAAGCACAAGAATCTGCTTTTTAGGTTCTGTATTCAAGTCTTTTATAACAAAATTATTTATAACAATAGAAATTTTTGTGAAATCCCCCTAACGAAATCCTTATTATTAATTTGCTTGATCTTTTATTGGGTCAATTATATCAAGTATCAATACAACTTCAGACCAAAGTATACTTGACTCTATATTAACATGGCAGGCACTTATCTCTCAGCGCTCCCTGACTACACTAAAAGGTGGTGGTTAGAGCCTCACTAGCCATCTCTAGGTGCCAAGTCTATTAGGTTTACTATGCTATATTTTATCACATCTCAATGATTTGGGTTAAAAATGGTATGTTAACTTCCTCTTTTTTGAGATAGGGTTCACAATGTAGCTCAGGTCTTGAACTCATGATCCTTCCCTCCCAAGTGCTGGGATTAAGGGCATGTGCCACCATGCCTGGCCGTCCTCCTAATTTCTATGAACTATTTAAGATTGTCAAAATTGGGGCTGGAGAAATGGCTCAGAGGTTAAGAACATCAGCTGCTCTTGCAGATGATCTGGGTTCAGTTCCCAGCACCTACATGGTGGCTAACAAATGCCCGTTACTGTAGTACCGGGGGATCCATCATTCTCTTCTGATATCAGCAGGCACTGCATGCAAGTGGTACACTTAGATACATGCAGGTAAAATATTCATACACAAAAATAAAAATAATTTTTTTAAAAGTGTCAGAATTCTTGGTGATCCATTATTTAGAGTACAGTAAGACAATGGTTCTAATGTCACATCTGTGTTTGTATGACCTCAAACAAACATTCATACATAATTTGCAGTCATTCCTCTGATGAAATTGTTTCAATCATGCCAGAGATAAGTGTTTATAAATATTCAGGAACTATTTTTTGTATTTTTAAATGGATATTTCACTATTTATAAGAATTTCCCATCATGTCTTACTTTAGATTTGATCACTATGATACTATTTATCATATTAAAACTAAGCAAACTGGATGAGGCTTATGAAGAGATAATTTTTCCAAAAAAAAAATATATAATGGAAAGCTAGAGTAATTACAAATTATCTAAGAAAATGTGAGTTGAGCTTGATTTAATACTTTGTGGCTTTTCAAAGGGTTTGATGTCAATAAATATTTGTCTTTTCAAAATGGTTTGAATAGTTATGAATATCAGTTGTTTGAATGATAACATAATTGTGTTACTTCCTCTGTCTGTCAGATTATCACATAATATCCTCCTAGCCATGATATATAGCCATCATGACCATCTTTTTGTTTTCTGTAGGGGAAATCATGTCCTTTGTACAGAACTGGCTTGTCGACAATGCAGTGGACATTCTTACTACCAATCATTATCAAAGGAAAAGTGTGGGGGGAGGAACTAGAACACAAAAAGTTGAGCCTCTCTGGGCTTTTGGCTTTGGAGTTGAACCTTAAGGCAGGACAAGATCCCTCAAGGTTGCCTGGAAGTGGTAGTGGTTGAAATGATCTTGCTTCAAGGCTAAGAGGTTTATAAAGGAGAGGTGTTCCTCAAACTACAACCCATCATTCAATCGTAAGATCAATTTAATGAGCTTCAGATCAACATCTAAAGAGTAGAAAATAGCCCACATCACATTTAGTAGGGATGAATATTGGTTTGCTGCTTTAGTTGTATGTGTAAATGAATCATAAGATGGACTACCTTTGCTACTGTGAGTAGAGACCCAAAATGTTTGAAAGACACTGCTTTAGAGGACTCAAACCTATTACCGAGATTACAGGTTCATGTTATTCTTTACTGTTTAGACTTTAATAAGCCATATCTAAATTTTTCTTATCTTGCTACAGGGGTTAAAGGTTGAAATCGAATTTACATGTTGAACCAAGGGAAAACAGCACTCTCAGGTGATCATCACTGGAATGACAGCAAATATTAAAATGTTACCCAAAGGAAGGCAAATAAATATCTGGAAAAATTAGTGCTACAATATTCAATTCTGCTATGTAGACATTTGTTTCTTGTGCTGTTACCTAATAGAACTACTTTCATTTTATAAAGGGCCTGGTAGCTTCCTTACATTACATTTCTTCTAAACTACCATTTCAAATAACTGAAGTATGATTAACTAAATGTGATGGCTAGAACTATACCTAAATCATCTCTGCAACACTAAGGGCCTCTTATCAGGAGGATGACTACAGATGGATTTATCTTAAAAACTGGGACTCTCTGGAGATAAATACATTCACAAAACAAGACACTGGGACAGCAGGTGAAAACTGAGACCATCCGAGGCAAACAGGTCACCCTTTTCACAGGAAATGAAGAACGTGAACTCCTACAAAAGGCAGCTCTTGTTTAGTTTTTCAGCCTTTTGCTATTTAAAAATGGTTGAAACCAACAAAAACCTAAGCTCAAAATAAATGGCTGATAATAATACTGAATAACTTATTTTTAGCTATGGACTATGAATAAAAACAGTATCCAAATTTTTTGATTAAAACATTTATTATGTATATATGTATGTGTCTTTGTGTGGGTTTGTGCATATTGAGTTCTGGTGCCCATGGAGGAGAAGCTGGATTCCTCTAGAACTGGAGTTACAAGTGGTTGTGAGCCGCACTATGTGGGTACTGGAAATAGAACTCAGGTCCTCTTCAAGAGCAGTACACACTCTTAACCAAGTCATTTCTCAAACCTCCCAAATTATTATTCAATATCAGCTTTTAAGAGAAATTGTGTGATGAAAGATGAAGACTTACTTTTCTAATTTTTGTAATTATTTTGGTTAATCTTAAATTTCCATTTTCTAGCCACATAATGATTAATGACTGGAGGTTGAAGAGATGAGGTAGGCCTCAAAAATATTAGGGGCAAGTGTAGACCAGCTAGTACTGAAATATAATCCTGTTCTTTAATTTTTTTAAATTTATTTTTGGGGCTGGGGATTGAATTTAGGATCTCAGCCATGCTAGTAAGTGTGGTACCATTGAGCTATGTTCTCTGCTACTGAATTTTTTTTTCTGAATTTATTTTTTACAAACTTACTTTAGAAATACTTTTCAATGTTTTTCTAAAATGAGTAATATGAACATACAATTTAAATGACAGTTCATAATTTAACATATACATAATTTAACATGTTCCTAATCCAACTTACACTAATTTAAAAAATATATTATTTAATTAGAAGTTATTTTGATTCCTCATTTTTAAATAACTATTAAAATAAATTATTGGTTCTGTGTTGTAAAATAATCCTTGGAAGTAGAACAATAAAGTCTAAATTTACCTTATCTTCATACATTCGTTTGGCCTCCCTCAATTCCGAACGCAGCTGAGAGACGGTAGATTCCAAGTCACTGAGCTGACGCATATACATTGAGTTTTGGTTTCTTGCTTGTTCTCTAAGAAAAGTTGAGAGGGGTATAAAAGCAAATAAGAAACTAAGTATATGTGTGATACCTAAAGGGACCCTTATCTTTAGCTACTGTTAGTAATTATTTTATATGGTATTATTAGGTCAATTGTCTCTTATTACCCAAAATTCCTTCTTGCAAGTTTCAGCTCAGGGTTAGGGATAAAGCTCAGAGTGATGGTGTATATGTGCTATGTGGAAAAATTCAGAGCACCAAAAATAACAAACTCAAAAACCAGTCTCAGGTCAAAAATGCTCCTTGCTGGAGCGAGGTGGTACATATATAAGTAGATATTCATTACACTATTCTCTACTTTCATGTATGATTAAAAATGTCTGCACTGGGGGGTTGGAGAAATGGCTCCGCAGTTAAGAGTGATTGCCATGTAATCACTAGGACTGGAATTTAGATCCTGGCACCCAACAAGTTAGGCATTCTGAAAATGCCTCTAACTCTAGTTCCAAGGCATCTGATACCCTCTTCTGGCCTCAGCATGTGTACAGGCACATGTACCTACGAACACATACACAGATACTCTCCCACAGACGCAGACACAGACACACAAATTTTCACAAAATAAAGGTCTACACAGTCTTAACATATCAGTTCAAATTATAAAATTCTACATGCATATATATTTTATGTGTATATTCTGTGTATATGTATATTTATATATGCAGATATATTTATGTATGCAGATATATCTACTTACATATGTACAAAATATACTTGGATACATATATATAATATATATGTGGTATGTTTGCTTTATCCTATCATTTGAAAATATGAACAACCTAGCCAATCCCAGGAGCCCAAATATTCTAAATAATATTTCTTACATGGTGAGATACTATTACTATGCTATCTTTTCTATTTGAGAGTTGGAAAAGTGTTATTACTTTCTAGTAGAATCAACTACTAAGCAATTTCTAAAAGATCTTAGGACAGCATATTAATCAAAAGAATCATCTTAAAATGATTATCAATTTCAAGCCACTAGTCCACACATACTGAATGATTTCCAATTGACTCTGGATGCTATTGGCTTGGCTTCGAGCACTATTGGCTTTCTCAGTGAGTCCTGTTGTTTCAACTTCATGTTCACTTATCAACTGCTCAATCCTGCAAAAGGAATGTGAGGACTGTTATTTGATACAAAACACTGTCCATGAATTAACCCCCAAATTAATGATTTTGTATTTTTCTTCAGTTGTATACATGCCATTCTTTTTCTTTTTCTAAAAAGATTTTAATTATGTAGTCCTGGATGACCTCAAACTCACAGGCAATCCTCCTGGCTCTGCCTCCCAGGAACTAGGATTATGACCTGAGCCACCGTGCCTGGCTTTGAATATGCTTTATTATGGGAGTTGAAAAGAAAAAAACCCTGGGTAGACAAGCTATAAATTTCAGCAGCAGCCCAGAGGTGGAAAATGGAAAAGAGAAGGGGGAAAAAAACCCTGCCATTCTGTCTCATGGTAGACAAGCCATATGGTGGGAAGGGGTTCCCTAGTTAGCTTCAGCTGTCAACTTGACATAGCCCGGAGTTATCTGAAGTAGTCTCAATTGGGAGATTGCCTTAATCATTAATTATGCTGGCCTGTGGGCCCTATCTAGGGGCATTTTCTTGATTGTTGATTGATGTGTGAGGGCCCAGCCCACTGTGGGCACTGCCACTCCTGGGCAGGTGGTCCTGTGCTGTGTAAGAAAGCAGGCTGAGCACAAGCCTGAAAGCATCTTTCTTCCATGGTTTCTGCTTGAGCTCCTGGTTGAGTTCCTGCCTTGACTTCCCTCAATAATGGATCATGACATGGAAATGTAAGCCAAATAAACCCTTTCCTCCCCAAGTTGCTTTTGCTCATGGTATTTACCACAGCAACAGAAAAGCAAACTAGAACATGGAGCTTTAGAGAAAGGGTAAGGAAGTCCAAAGTGTTAGGGAAAGCCTGCTGTCCTAGTTTGTTTCTTCATTGCTGTGACAAAACACTCTGACCAGTACCAACTTGGGGAGGAAAGGGTTTATTTGGCTTACATCTCCTAGGTCGCAGTTCATCAGGGAGCCCAAGGTAGGAACTCAGGGCAGGAACCTGGAGGCAGGAGCTGGAGCACAGGCCATGGAGGAATGCTGCTTACTGGCTTGCTCCCCTGGCCCCTGCTCAGTCTGCTTTCTTATACAACACAGACCCACCTGCCCAGGGGTGGCACCACCCACAGTGGGCTGGGCCCTCCCACATCACTCATCAAGAAGATGCCCCTCAGACATGGCCACAGGCCAGTCCAATGGAGGCAGTTCCCCAATTGAGACTCCCTCAATCCAGGTGTGTCAAGTTAACACTAAAGCTATCCAGCACACCTGCTGAGAACAGAGATAAAAGAAAAGGAAAAGTTACAGCAGACTTACGAAGCCCCATGGCTGTGGCCCTATAAGCTACTGGGCTGGGGCAGAAATTCTAGGAAGAACATTATCTCATTAAAGGGATAATTATTCCACCTATTTCCTTAATATGTTAGTCTTTTAATGACAACTCTAAAATTCTTTACCTAAAACATTTGAGGGACAACTAGTTTCAGAATTCAAAATTTGACTTTATAATGATAAACTCTGAGAAACGAGCAAGGTACGGTTGGGGTGTGCCCAGAGTCCTGTGCTTGAGATGCAGGATGCTCATTTGAGTGTAGGAACTCAAGGCCAGCCTGGGAAACACAGTGAGATGCTGTGGTAAAACAAATCTATCTATGAGTATTATATGCTGTATGAATGTTAGATGTTACATGATACCTCCAATGAGATATAGGGAAGGGTCTTGTAAGCCAGACATATTATGAATTCAAGTTTGTAAATATTCACATTAAATCATAGACTATAAAAGCTTTATATTAGCTAATCAACAGATGCATAACAGACTCGTTCTTTGATCAAATTTAGTCAGGCTCTTCTAAGCCCTCTTTTAACTAGGCCTTGATCTTGTACTAGTTCTTTGACCCAGGCCAATCCTAGCAAGAGTATTGTCACTTCTGCTATCTGATCAAGTTATTTCTCAGTCTAAAAATCTTAAGTTTTTAGCCTGCATTTGGTAAGGATCCTCAACCCTTGATGCCTCTTCTTAATAATTTTCCATCCACCAATTCCCTCACTTCCTTCTCTGGTTATAAATCTCTACTTGTCCTTACTGTGTTGGGAGTTGAGCTTATTCTCTCTTCCCTACAGTACAACCTTGACTTAACTGTCTTGACTAAATCCCTCCTTACAGCTTTAATAAGTGCCAGAAAAAAATTAACATGAAATTGTTGCACATCTACAGAGAAAACTCTGTGTCTCAGAGTTTTGTACATTTTGGAATTATAGATAAGGAACTAGAACTGTGGTTTAAGTTCATTGTGACTTCTATACCTCAGTCAGAAACCTACCTATCTTGATGTTGTTGAAGTAATAGTTCTATTTTGTTCTGTGATTCAGATTTCAGTGTTTCAAGCTGATCCTCTACCTGGTTTTTAAAAGGAAAGATTGATTTAGGTGCTGGTATTTCTAAAGCTTAGAAAATTCACATTTTCAACTGAAGGAAGGCTTTAGAGAGATATAAATAATAGTAAAATAAATTGTTTCTCTACTTTATTAGCTCTTTTACTCTGGCTATACTTTCATGAAGCTATACAGGTAAGTCAAGCTAATTAGAGAGCACACTGTATTATCTCAGAGAACAAAATATGAGAATTTGGCTTATTTTTAAGAATCTTAAAAGTTATAAACCGAATACTATCTTTTAATACATTTTAATATAAAATTGAAGTAGTGTTCTCACCACTTACTGGAAATATCCTCCCTTTAAGATAAGAAATTTCTGTGTCTAATTCTCTTAGGATTTTACTAATAGTTGAGCCCAGGCTGCGGAAGTGCATAGTAGACATGTTGTCCTGTTCACAGATTTTCTTGCCTGAGGCTTCTTCAAAGTCAACTAAGATTGATCGGATTTCTTGAAGCACTCCTTCATAACTAATCATCATTTTTCTTAGCTGCTCTATCTGTGTGCTGCTGTCTTTTAACATGCCCTCCTTAAGGCTTTTGGCGGCTTCAAGTTCATGAACTGTATTTTGAAGTTGATTTCTTAAATCCTCCTGGAATTGATTCTCCCTTCGTCTATACAATAAGTGAAAGAAAAGAAGTAACATTGCTAAAAGTCATTTTCACACAAATGATTTTTACTACAAGGAGTAAATTTTTTGAGACAGAAATATATATATATTAATATTATATATAGTATATATTACATATTGAGACAGAAATATATATATGTATGTATATATGTATCTCCATATCCTAAGCTGGCTTTGAACTCAACTACATAGCCCAGGCTAGCCTCAAACTCACAACAAATCCTCCTGTCTCAGTCTCCCAAGTCTCTCCAAGACTTATAGCTTAACAGCACCATGCCCAGCATTAAGAATAAATTATAGGCCAGGTGTTATAGTATATACACTTTTAATCCCAGCACTCAGGAGGCTGAGGCAGGCTGATCTCTGTGAATTCAAGACCAGCGTGGTCTACATAGCAAATTCCAGACCAGCCAAGGCTATATGGGAGACCCTGTCTCAGAAAACAAAAACAAATAAAAGAATAAACTATAATTTCAGAGCTGGGGATAGGGGACTATAGCTCACTGATAGAACACTTGCCTAACATGCCCAGACCCTGGGTTTGATCTCTAGCACTGCAGGAAGGAGGAGAATTCAGGTAACAAATCCCAACCTGATGTCAGCCATGGCATCTCTCTCCATTTGCATTTCTTGAAGCTTTGTTTGCAAATCAATGACTGACTGCCTTAAGTAAAACTTTTGTTTCTCATGTAATTCATCGCTCTGAAATTAAAAAAATGAAAACAAATTAATCTCTATCAAAGGAACATAATTCCTTGTAGACAGTAATTTTCAAAAGGCCATAAATTATGTATTGTTACATGTATGTATTAGTTACTTTTCTGTTGCTGTGATAAAACACCATAACAAAGACAACTTATAGAAGGGTTTATTGGACTTATAATTCCAGAACGATAAGGGTCCATCATGACGGGGAGGCATGGCAGCAGAGGTGACTGGAGCAGAAAGCTGAGCGCTCATATCTCCAAGGATGCTCAGGAAACATAGAGATGAAGTTGGAAGTGGGACAAGACTAGGAACTCAAAGCTGGCCCACAGTGCCATGTTTCCTCCAGCAAAGTCACACCTCCTAAAGGTTCCATGACCTTCTCCAAACAGTACCAACTAGAGATCATATACCAGTGTTCTAATACTTGAGTCTATGAGGTCACTTCTCATTCAAACCACCACATTCCACTCTCTGGCTCCCATAGGCTCATGGTCATATCATAATGCAAAATGCATTTAGTCCAACTTCAAAAGTTCCTGAGTCCCCAAAGTCTTTAACAGTTTCAATATAGTCAAAAGTTCAAAGTCTGAAGTTTCTTCTGAGATTCAAGGCTTTTTTTTTGGGGGCGGGTATTTTTGAGACAGGGTCTCCCTGTAGCCCCAGCTGTCCTGGAACTCACTATGCAGACCAGGCTGGCCTCAAGCCCACAGAGATCCGCCTGCCTCTGCCTCCCAAGTGCTGGGACTACAGGCGTGTGCCACCATGCCTGGCAGCATTCTTAGCTGTAATCTCCTGCAAAATCAGAAGGTAAATTACATACTTCCAACATACAATGGCACAAAATACATATTCCCATCCCAAAAGAGAGGAATGGGGGAATAGTGAGGAAATACCAGAGCAAAACAAGACCAAAACCCAGCAGTGTAAATACTAAATCTTGTAGCTCCTTGTCTGATGTCTAGGACTTTGGTTCCAAAAGATTAGATAGCTCTGCCCCTCCAGATCCCCTCCAGCTTTGCTGCCTATAACATATATCTCTTTCCTGGGCTGGTACCAGTCCCTGTATATAGCTCTAGCATTTCTAACATCTTGGGATCTCCACTGTCAATCAGGCTTCACCTTCACAGCTTTATACAATAGCCTATCAGGGCTGCCCTGGCCTGTCAGGGTCTTCTTTATGCAGGGACTCCCCTGCTATATGGTGCCTGGCCTCAGCAGCTCTCTGAAACTGTGGAAGAATAGACAACTCCCTCACTCTTGCAACTTTCATGCCTCTAAAACCAGTACTATGCAGATGACATTGCCAAATTCCTGTATGCCAAATTCCACTACCAGCTTGGGATAAACTTTGGTCCCTACATCCATATTATCAGCAGCTTTTGTTATAGGAGCAGAGAACTCCTTAGGCCTTTTCCTTTAACTAGCTGGAAGCTAGTGGGGTCTTGCCCTGAGGGCACTCTTTCTATTCTTCAGTAGAGCAAGACGACTGTCTTTAATGGTGCTAATCTTCTTAACAACAAAATCCTCTCTTCCAGCACATGCTGCTTCCTAATGCTTTTTTTCTCTCCAACCTGTAAGTTTTGCATTTCTACTCCACTTGCTCCATTGCAGATCTGCATAAAATTTATCAGTAATAACCAAGCCACTGATGCAATGTTACACTGTCTTGAAATTGCCTCCACCAAAGAAATTAGTCTATTACATTTATTTATTTATTTATTTATTTATTTATTTATTTATTTATTTATTTATTTTAGTCTATTACTTTTAAATTCAACCTCAGACAACTTCTTAGCCCTCAGGAAGGAAGCAGTCAGATTCTTTACCAAATTATCACAGGAGTAACCTCTAGCCTAGTTGCTCTAAGTCCTCGCTCCCTTCTGGAATGACAGTGTTCTCAGTACTACTTTCTTCAAGGCTCCTACTAGAACAGTTCATTAAGCTCTGCTTATAGCATTCAAGTGTTTTTCTAGTCTAAACTTCCAAAGTCTTCCATATTCCTCAAAAAACCCAACATGGCTGGGTTCTTCACAGTCATACTCCATTCCTGGTAACCATTTCTGCATTAATTATTTTTTTCTGCTGCTGTGATAAAACACTATGACCAAGGCAGCATATAGAAGAAAGAGTTTATTTGGCTTACAGTTCCAGAGGGAGAATTTATAATGGCAGAGAAGAAAGCTGAGAGCTCACATTTTCACTCATAGGAAGCAGAGAGCAACTGGAAGTGGGGCAAGGCTATGAACTCTCAAAGCCCACCCCTAGGGATGAGCTTCCTCCAGCAAGGCTAAACCTCCACAAACAGTGCACCAACTGGGGTCAAGTATTCAAATACGTGAGCCTACAGGGGATGTTTCTCATTCAAACCACCACATGGTACAAAATTTCCCTCCTTTACCACTGTAGTTCAGAGCCCAATGAACAAGTTTCCCTGGCTTTGTCTTTGTTTTCTAGATCTAGAACAAATCTACCTTCTAGCTCAAAGTGAAAATGGGAATAAGTTTTGTTCCTTAAAATAGGAAAATTGAGGTCAGGCATAATGGTATATGTCTTTAATCCCAGCAATCAGGAGATCCAGGGTATCTCTGGATCTCTATGAATTCCAGGCCACACAGTGAGACCCTGTCTCAAAAACAAAAACAAACAAAACCAAGCAACAAACAAACAAACAAACACCAGGAAGTTTGGTGTTTCTGTATGTGTACAGAAAAGTCAAATCTCACTTTCAATGTACTTAAAATTCTTAGTAATAGACATTACAATCTAAAATTATCAAGGTGCTCACTACAGGATAATTCACACAGATTTCCAAAACCAGACACTGAAGTGATGGCGAACAAAGAATAGATAATGATGAACAGAGTTTGACTTAGTTTTTGTATCGCCTCACATTTGAGTCTGAACAGAAAAACACTAAATACAAGAAGATTTTAAAATACAGAAATATAGACTAAAACAGGAGGAAAAAAGATCAAGAGGAAACAAAGATAATGTAAGAAATATAAGAATTTGTGTTTGCAGAGACATTCAAGAGACATTACAGTCATAAAGAACAGGATGCCGGAGCCAGGCATGGTGGTGCATACCTGTAGTCCCAGCACTTGGGAGGCAGAGGCAGGTGTATCTCTATGAGTTCAAGGCCAGCCTGGTCTACATAGTGAGTTCCAGGACAGCTGGTGCTACAGGGAGACCCTATCTCAAAAAACAAAAAAGACAGAGACTACACAAGATTCTGAGGACTTGGAGAAGCTCAACTCTGAACTGCAAAGATGACTAGGGCCAGAGTGCAACACACAGCAAATGAAGACAGACACCTGAAGAACACCACAGATAGGTGCTGTCCTGATAGCCAGGACTGGTAAAATGCTGAAAGAAGGAAAATTTACTTCTGAGTTCTTCTGTAATTTACCTAAAATGGATTTAGCAAAAAGATAATAAATTCATGGAAATATTTCTGCGTACATATATTTGAATGTTCTCTAAAGATACTGAAAATAATACTAAGGCTAAGCATGATGGCACATGCCCATAATCCCAATAGTTGGGGGGCTGAGGCTGGAGGATCCCAAGTGCTAGCCTGGGCTACACAATGAGATTTTGTCTAAGAAAGAAAGAAAAAGAGGGGATGAAAAGAGGAGGAAGGAGAGGGAAGGTAGAATAGGGATGAAGAAGGGTTTGATAAAGGGCAAGAAGAGAAAAAAGAAGAAGAGGCAGCATCTCAGGAGTGGAGTCCTTGCACACATTATAGAGAGGAAGAAGAAGGGACAAAAAGTAAGAATGAATATGAATTATTTGTGTCAAATGTTGACAAGAAAAGGAATATCAAGTATCAAATGGATTCACCATCACTATTTATCCCTACAGTAGCACAACTCTCACCACTATTACTATTTCCTACTTTAAACATTTCAGTTATGAGACTATTAAGGAAGGGTCCATGTCTTTTCCATCTTTATATTTGTGGTACCTACAACTCAGATTGTCAGGCCTGTGCATAAGCTCTTCTACCCACTGAGGCATCTTCCGGGCCCAAGACACCATTTCTTTTCCCCTAATAGTACTTTCTTTGTCTTTACATATCTTATTAGTATATTTGTCATAAGGTTTCATCACTATTTGCATACATGACCAGCCCATCTCCAATACTATGAGCTGCTTACAAGTTCTGGCTTATTCATCTTTGTATGCCCTGTAAATAATACAATGACATAGTGGTCTAGATTAGCAAGGCTCATCCAGAGAGGTGCAAGTGCTTAGTATTTACTGAAACAGAGGGTGCATATGGAGAATTGGTACTAAGCAAGGCCAGAATGTACCAGGAAGATCATAAAGAGCTTGTGTATTGTGGTTAGAAGTTTGATTTTTAGAAAGGACTTCTGAGACTCGATATGAAACAATAAGGCCAGCTTGATTTTATACAAAGTCCATTTAAAATTTTTAGTGAACATTTTAAAATTTGATTTAGCCATTCTATATATACAAACATATAAAATCCTACTTTCTGCCATTGTTTGCTAAGAGAATCCAAGGATCATAACATCAGGACAACAGACTTGAACCAATTATTAATAGCAGATGAATGTCATTGATTATAACATTTTGAAGCTTTTGATTTTACTAAAATTAAATCATGAACCAAGACATTATCAATGCCAAAAATAAAACAAACATGCAAAATTTTCAATAGCCCAACAGAATAGAGAGATCAAATTAACAAGTTTGGCTGACAGACCCATGGCTAATTTTTCTTCCAGGAGGTTTAGGTTTTATTTCACAGCAATATGCCTCCTTGTCCTAAAAATGGTGTCAGGTGCTAGAAAAGAATGCAACTCACTTCATTTAGTCTTCTCTGTAAATCTTTGACCTGATGTGAGTATTTCTCCAAAACACATTCTATGTGCTCTTTTCCAGGGTAAGGGATGACTTTTCTATGAGAATCAAGTTCTACTTCATATTTAGGGAAAAAAGGAATTTGCGTCAAAGTCCCAGCTGAAGATGTGTTTTCAATTATTGTACCACGAATAGATGACAAAAAAAATGGGTTTGAAGAACCTAAATATTAAATAATTCATTAATTATTCATATAATAACTTTGTGGCAAACATTATCCTAGGTTATTCCCTTATAAAACCCTGAATAAGCACAATATCTCAAGGGAAAAACAGGCAAGTGAAGGCCAGGAGTGGTGGCCCATGCCTTTAACCCCAGCACTCAGGAGGCAGAGGCAGGTGGATCTCTGTGAGATTAAGGCCAGCCTGATTTAGTAGTGAGTTCCAGATCAACTGGAGCTACAGGGAGACCCTGTCTCAAAAACACAAAACAAAATGAAGCAAAACAGGCAAGTGAAAGAACAGTAAAAGTACTGAGAAAAGGAGCTGGAGAGATGGCTCAGCAGTTAAGAGCACTGACTTGCTCTTGCAGAGGACCTGGGTTCGATTCCCAGAACCCACATGGCAGCTACAAACCGTCCTTCACTCCAGTGCCAGGGGAATCCAAAGCCCTCTTCTGACCTCCGCAGCATTGCAGGACATGGGTGCACTCACATACATGCAGGCAATATACTCATACACATAAAATAAAAATAAATAAATTATTTAAAAAAAGAGTAGTGAAAAAGGTAAGCACCACATACAAAAGAGAGACAGGCTAGGGGGAGGAGGGTGGTCAAATGATACTGGAATCAAAGAGCCTTGAAATACACATGAGCAATAATTAATCATTCAAGAGAGTGGAAGCACCATAATTATCCATCAGTGGGCTTTTCTGGGTAGGAGGAAAAGAGATGCCAGGTATGAGAATGAAAATGTAGGCCAGATCATGAGGGACCCTGTGGTCATGCCAAGGAATTTGGATTTCATCTGGTGTGCTGTAATTTGGAAATTGGAAAGAGAGCTGGCTAAGATCATGAGAAATATTTCTTGGTGGCATCAGAACCCTATTGAGATAGGATATTTTGATTATGAAGCAGCATATTGGTAGGAAATCCACATTTATATTTTATTTTAATGTGTATGAGTGTTTTGCCTACATGTATGTAAATGTATCTGTTTTGTACAATCCCTAAGTAGGCCAGAAGAGAGTGCTGGATCCCCTGGAACTGGAGTTAAGGACAGTTGTCAGCCTCCATGTGGGTCCTTTGCAAGAGCAGCCAGTGCTCTTAACCACTGAGCCAACTCTCCAGGCCCTGATATCTCTATTTTTGTGCTGGGCTGCTGGAAGATTTTTGTCAGAGAAATGTAAATATATGCTGAAAAACCAAACATGCTCATTTAAAAAACTAGGAAGTTTTTTCCTCAAAAATAGAATTATAGGGGGCTGGAGAGATGGCTCAGCAGTTAAGATCAATCACTGGCTGTTCTTACAGAAGACCCAGGTTCAAATCCCAGCACCCACACTGCAGCTAATAACTGTCTGTAACTCTAGTTCCAGGGGATCCAACAGCCTCTTCTGTCCTTCTCGGGCACTGCATGACACGGGTGTACTTACAGTGCACTCATATGCATAAAAAAATAAATTTAAAAAATAGAAATAGAATCAGTATAGCAGACATTCACAACTATGTTCTGTGTTTGCATTTAAAAACAAAATACACAACTGGGCATGGCACATGCCTTTAATCCCAGCACTCAGGAAGCAGAGGCAGGCAGAGCTCTGAGGTCTAGGTCAGCGTGGTCTACATACCAAGTTCCAGGCCAGCTGGGACTACAGGGAGACTGTGTCTCAAAACAACCCACAACAACAACAACAAAAAGAAAAACAAACAAACAAAAAATCCACATTTGAAACTAGGAGCTGGGATGATTATTATGAAGACTGCTTAATTTTAAATTCCCCCATTTTGTGTTTTATAAAAGGTACATACCTCCATTGGCTGTGATGCCACTTGATAAAAGATCTTCACTATTTGATTCACAAGCTTTTGATTCCATATTAACTATTTTCTACCTCTTCTTAGAAACTTTGAAATATGAGTGCTTCCCTGTTTGGACTGTTTAGTTCTTGTCTCTAAAAGAGCAAAGATTCAATCTTTATTAATAAGGCACCATGTAAAAGAAGTTCATAAAGAATAGGAACTAACTTTGTTAATACTTTTGTAAATTTTTCCTCCAGAAAAAGTTATACATACAGAAATATTTTATTACTATGTAAACTAATATACAAGTCAAATCTATTGTACAAATTGTTTACTTTAAAAGCTAAGGGGGTTCTTAAAAGATAACTTGTAAATTAAATACAAATACTTTATTATGGCAATTGGTGCTTTGATTTGGGGTATAGTAATTCTCTTAACTCTCATAAAATTATGTTAATAAATAATGAAAGAAAATATCGCTTTAACAAAGATCACAAATCAGCAAATTAGAAGTCATTAATAAAAGTTGAAAAACTTCTCTGTAAATGTTTACAATTTTATACTTAGTCAAGAGGGGACTTCTAAGTTTAAAAACTAATGATGGTGACCTGATTTCAATCTCTTCTTATTTTCATTCAATAAGCATAAAAAACAGAGCAGACCATATATATTCCACTTCTTCACCATTCTAAAAGCAGAATACCACAACCTTCACTTATCTAGAAATAGAGGAATCCCAGCTCCTCAAGCAGTACAACCATTATGATGGAGAAATGGGAGAGAAGCAGAAAAGTCTCAAAAAGAACAGAGGTGAACCAAGGAATAAAAGGGAGTGGACAAATTCACTCCTCCAGAGTGAGACAAGAGACACCACAATATTAATCCCAGGTTGGAACTTCATAGTCCACTGCCCTGAGTATGGGTTAGTAACCCCAGAGAAGCAGTGTTTTGCAAAATTATACTGAGAAAAGAGGTGATTCCCCTGGAGACACTGTGCTAAAGGGAAGAAAAGTGAGAGGGCAAATTAAAGACCTAGCAGGAACAAAGCAGAAGCAAGACATTCAACCTTCCCCCACACCTTCCATCCCTACCACTCATAACAGAAACTTCATGGAAAGAAGGCATATACAACCCAGGAACCCTGCTCTGAAATGAACAGAATAAACTAGAGCAGACCATCTTCATAAGAAAACATGCCAATGCACAAAACCTGTGGAAGCCCGGGCCAGATAAAAACCCCGCATAGATGGCAGAGGTGGGCTAGCCCCAGCCTTAGCTGAGGATCTACTGGCAACTGATGGCTGCTGGGAGAGTGACAGTCAGTTTTCTTTCCAGTGTGATGCCTGGTAGGTTGATCAACTCAAGGACAGACCCCACATCCAAGAGCATTTGGAGAACATAGCTTAGACTTGATAGGTCTTAAAAAAAAAAAAAAAAAAAAAGACAATAATAGAGGGCATGAAGTCGGTGGGGAGCAAAGTGGGAGTGGAGATGGGGGAGGACACATCTGAATGTGATCAAAGAACACTGAATGAAATTCTCAAATCAATAAAAATATTTTTTAAAGGGGAATCAAAGATTTAGGAATAGCTTCACAAGTTTAAAAAAAAAGAAAATGCATGCAAAATGTGAGAGAATGTGCATACAATCTTTTCTAGTGGTGAACAATCTCTCCACCAAACAAATGAAGCCAAAGAAAACTATCCTAGATACTCCAAAGTAAACATTCTCACACAAGTATACATACTGTTCTAGTTCGCCTTCAGTTGCTATCACAAAACACTCTGACCAATACCAACTTGGGGAGGAAAGGGTTTATTTTATCTTATATCTCCTGGGTGGCAGTTCATCACTGAGGGAGCACAAGGTAGGAACTCAGGGCAGGAACCTGGAGGCAGGAGCTGAAGCACAGGCCATGAATGAATGCTGCTTCCTGACTTGCTCCCTTGGACCATGCTCAGCCTGCTTTCCGATACAATACACAACAACCTGCCCAGGGGTGGCACCACCCACAGAGGACTGGGCCCTCCCATATCACTCACCAATCATGAAAATATCCCACAGACATGGCCACAGGCTAGTCCAATGGAAGCAGTTCCCCAATTGAGGCTTCCTCTACTAGGGTGTGTCAAGCTGACAACTAAAGCTATCCAGCACACATACCTTCTCAAATGACAAAAGAATTTTAGAAAGTAAAGACAGAACACCCACAGCAGATATAAGAGAGCTAATATCACAGACAACAAAGTCATGTGAACACAATACAATAGAATTTAGACCAGACAGAATAGTCGTGTAACTGAATTAAAGAGACTCAACTGTTCACCAACGGGATTTTTAAATTAGTTCATATAAAACAATTCTATGAGGACTAACAGTATAGTCAGTGGTGGTGTGCTAGCATAGCATGCATGAGGGCTTGGGAACCCCCAGCACTGCAGTGGGAATGGAGGCAGTATGGGACAAACCATATGCCTTCTACTGAACAAGTCTTGTGTGATAAGGTAAACAGAAATTAAAGAATTTCTGAAAAATAATGGTAGTAAAAACACTATGCATCACAATCTATGAGCAATAGTAAAAGACAAGTACTTCACAGAACATTTTTGTTCCATAGAAAACAAGGGCTAGGAATGTAGCTCAGTTGGTAGAGTGCTTGACTGGCAAGCATAAGGCCCTGGGTTAATCCCCAGTACTACATCCCTCCATAAACCTCCCCCCACCCCACCCCCACACACACAATGTAAAGACAAAAACATAGGTTTAATTTTTTCTTAATTAAATGAGTTTAAAGCAGACTTTGTTTTTTGTTCAGTTTTGGTTTTGTTTTTGTTTTGTATTTTTGAAATAGGGTCTCCCTGTAGCCCCAGCAGGCCTGCAATTCGCTATGTGACCAGGCTGGCCTTGAACTCAGAGATCTACCTGCCTCTGCCCCAAGAGTGCTGGGACTAAAGGCATGCACCACCAAGCCCAGCAAAGCAGCCTTTATTTGTAAAGATGTTCAGTACCTCTATTTGCCAATGTTGCCAGTTATTTTACAAACCTTAGAATAATGAAGTCTACATTAAAAAAATAGAACAGCAATTCAGTTTGCACAATTTTAGAATGACCATATCCTCAGTTTGGCCAAGTTATTCAGTACTCCTACACTTTTTTAAACACCTATATAAGAATTGAAATATTATTCCTATTTTCAGTCACAAAGTTTATAAGCTTAGTAAGGATTTTTGGAATTGAAGGATTTTGTCTCAGAAAATTATAAAATTGTCATACTCTGCACTTGCTGATTCGGGGATGATAACATGAACTTACAAGTCTATTTTTTAGACGTCTACAGTATGAGTCCCTTTATACTTGTTTGGTAGCATTGGGGATCAAACCCAGGGTGTGGTACAAGGTCTCTGTACTTGAGCTATATATCCAGTCCCACAAGTATTTGTTTTAAATCTCTGAGCAAAATACAGAAGTGAGATCTTAGATTTGTTCTTCTATATCCAAGGTCTCTTATTAATAACTCTGCCTCATTTAAAAGTAAGAGCATGTTCACATTGAAAGGAGCCTTAAACTTGTGATAAATCTATGTAAACATTTGATTGGAATGTTTCAGAAAAAGCCATGGAAACATATCACATACAAAGGATTTTTGAAGGAAAACAGTTTGTAGACTTTTTTACTTATTATTGTTTTACCATATAGCTGAGCAAAAGTGCTTAAAGCATCTCTTGGTTCTTATCCTTCCTTCTTGGATTCTGAAAGGCGATGAAGGATGTGTAACTACTTTCCTAGTATGAAGTCCTCATTTTGACTTCTTTCTTTATGGCTACTAGTTAAGGTGGACCTCTCTTGGACTATGATAGAGTAACTGTCTCCACAGCAAGGTGATTTTCAGTTTATGTCCTATTTTGACTGGGTATGTCACTTAAATGTATGGTCTATTGAGAGTCCCAGATTCATCAAGTAATGAATGACTCAAGCCCTTAGGATGATCGATGGCCATACTACCGTCCATAGAAACCTAAGACTGATTTCACAGGGTTGGTGTATACTCCTCTAAAACCAGACTGAACATATGAGAGCAATCCTAAACAGCACTTACTATTGAGTTACTGTTCTTAACTAAGAATTGCTTACTGTGCTGGGTATGGTGGCATATACCTTTAATTCCAGCACTTGGGAGGCAGAGGCAGGCAGATCTCTTTTGAGATCCAGGCCAGCCTGGTCTAAATAGCCAGTTCCAGACCAGCTGGGGCTGTCTCAAAAGACCAAAAAAAAATTAATTAATTAATTAATTAATTAATTTTTAAAAATCAATTCATACATATTGGCCTGTATTTGCTTTCTCAATCACATTCTATGGATATCGTCATCCAGATTCAAATCCTAGACCTGTGAAATGTTATCTATAAATAATTTGGAGATTAGGGCTGGAGAGATGGCTCAGTGGCTAAGAGCACTGGCTGCTCTTGCAGAGCACCCAGCACCCACATGGCTAACAAAACCATCTGTAACTCCAGTTCCAGGGGATCCAATGCCCTGTTCCAACCTCTGCAGGCATTGCATGATGAGTGCCAGGTGCACTTACCTACATGCAGGCAATACACTCCTACAAATAAAATAAAAATAATTAAAAACTTTTAAAAAGATTATAATATGGAGATTTAAAAAAAAAGCAAACTTTTTTTTTTTCGGTCTTTTTGTAGCCCCAGCTGGCCTAGAACTCACTATGTAGATCAGGTTGACCTGGATCTCACAGAGATCTGCCTGCCTCTGCCTTCCAGGTACTGGGATTGAAGGAGTGTGCCACCTCGCTTAGCTAGAGTGACTACTTCTTAAGAGCAAGGGTGAACTGAAAGAACTCATGTACAAACCCTCCTATACAGAACCTGCCCCCTATATTTATGTATACTACCAAATATGATAATAATCACATGAATTACAATGTATCTTTATAATTTAAGCAGCATATAGCAACTTACTTTCCAGTAAAAAATCATTCTATTTATCCAAAAAGAAAATAAAGCTCTCTATAGGCCCATGAACACAAAAGAAAAATTTTACTTGATTTAGCTAAACATAAAACACAGGGACTGACATAATGTGATATAGAATTCAGTTGTTTAAGCTCATACTTCATCAGTATACAATACCACAC